ACAAAGAGAACTGATAGCCCTGCAAAGCAACAAAGCATTAGTTAACAACAATCAGTCTCTCAGTCTGGTCTCTCGCAAGAGAAAACCGTCCTCACAGAGCGAGCCCTCTCCCAACCCAGACTCCCCTGTATTTCTGTATTTATTATAATCTGTTTTTAACTTGTGCAGTGAGCACTATTGTGTTATTTTACACTGTTATTACATTTCTGCACCTGAATACTACTGTTACTGACTTTATTTGTAACTGTGTTATGTTGTATTCATCAATGCTCGTAATTTGTGTAATTGTTCTTGTTTTATTACCAACTTTATTAGTTAAGCTAGTATTTTGTGCTGTGGTATAGAAGTACTTAAAGTAAACTTTCACAAATGTATTTATTTATTTATTTATTTTATTTTTTTGCTGATCCGAAAAATGATCCGATCCGTGACTCAAAATCCGTAATGTGATTCGAACCGTGAGTTTTGTGATCCGTTGCACCACTATTGATTATCAAATCGCAAAGGATGTGGTTCAATTAGATATATGCACTGTGTGTTTCAGAGTAAAGCATGGCACTGTATTCACATGTGAGCAGCTTATTATCTGCCAGTGTTTGCAGCATTTTAGAGCAGCTCGGTTCATAGTAAATGCTGCTCCACACAAACTCCATCTCTGCATTGCTCTGAGTTTGTCACTTTAACAAGCATTTGGGAAGACAACATGCGCTAACCATCCTCCTATACTTGTATTGAGAAGCTCTTATCAACAAAAGAGAAGCTTTAAGGGCCCACTGCGTCTTTCCCCTGAAATAAAAGTTTGATGGTTTATAGTTTAAAAATGAAGAAATTAAGACAGCCAGACATAGTATTGTAATTTTACAGCTGTAATATAAAATAATAATAGTAATTTTATGTATGTATGTATGCATGTATGTATTTGTTCATTTATAGTAAAATATTACATTAGTAATATTTCTTATGTTTTTAGTATTTTTATTTTATTTTATTTATTAATATATAATTAATACTGCTACTACTACTACTAATAATAATTAAATTTTCATTATTATTATTATTGTGCAGCCCTACCAACAAAACCTTTTTTTACCTACCAAAAAAAACATTTTTTTTTTAATCAGAAAAACTGTAATTAGATTTGTTTAAAGGGGTCATATAAGAATCATATCAACTTGTGGAAAATGGGCATCCTATGACCCCTTTAGCGTTTTTTGTTTAATGCAGGACTAAATGAATGATCTGTGTAGTTGAATGGGCCAAACAGTGTTCTGTTGGTTGCGTTGTAGTGATTGTAGCAGAGAAAGTCGTATGTGTAGTCTGTAGAGATTTGGAACTGTTAGATAAAAGCATCCTTTGCTGCTGTGAAGATATCCATCTCTCTGTCTGCACGTGATAGAATTGTGTTATATCCTGTAATGATGGTTTGCTGTCAAAATATAAAGCATCATAACAATGCCAGCAATTTCTGAAACTGTATCTTATCTGAACTGAGTTCCATTTCGTTAAATTGTTTGTTTGACCTCTGGACCAATTTGCAGTCGTGTCATACAGCATGGTTGGTTAGACATACTCTTTTTCATGGATGGATCTGCTCGCTGTTGTGTTTTCTCAATGTTGGATCTAAATTAAGCAATTTCTGCATTTCATCAGGTTTGCTGTTGGGAATTATTGTTAGATTGACTTAAGATTGTGAAACAAGCAAATGGCCGTTTTTGCAATATCACTGGCAGCTTTGAAGTCACCTTAGATGTGTTTGAGGAGGGATGAAATGATGTCATCTCTCAAGGAAATGTGACACTTGTTCAAGCAGAGTTTTAACTGCCTTTGTTATCTGACCTTCTGACATAAATCTGTCAAGCTAAGTGTATTTTGCAAAGAGTAACATTTCACACAGTCAGGAATTTGCAGTTTGCTAGTTTGTCAAGCATTTTTAGAAAGCCCTGAGTCTATTCCTGTTATGTTTTCCTGCTCAGAATTGATTCCGATTTAGGGAAAGTTTACTCAATGAATGTTCTGTCATTAATCGCTCACCTTTTAAGTCATTCCAAATCTGTATAATTTTTTTGCCTGCATGAATAGAGGGACAGAAATCTTCTAGGTTTCATTAAAAATATTTGTATTTTTGTTTCAAAGATGAACAAAAGTCTTACTTGGAATGGCATGAGGGTGAGTAAATGATGACAGAATTATCATTTTTGGGTAAACTATCCCATGTGAATATGGCATGGAGCAAGTGGTTTTGATTAATTTAGCATTGGGTTGACTTTAGTGTCCTGCTGAACTAAAACTGAATTGCCATTTTATATTGTATTACATTTATGAATAAAATGAATAAAAGCTTGCAAGAGGAACTATGGATAATTAGGAAGTTACTTAACGATTTCTTAAATTTGTACTTTTAGAGCTTTTGAGAAGTAATTCAGACATCCGCTTTAGAATGCAGACATTCATGAACCACTTATGTAACTGAATGTTATAAGTTATTTAGTTCCAAAAATATGATACAGGATCTAAATGTGAACCAAATTCATGCTGGTGCATTGTTATTCAGTTGCTAAAGCGGACTAGATGGTAGGTTGTTGCTAGGTTGTAGCCAAGGTGTTGCAATGTGGTTGTTAAGCTGTTGGTAGGTGGCTGGTAGGTTGTCGCTAAGTGGTTGTTAGGGTTTTCTAGATAGAGTTTAGATGGTTTCTAAGGTATTGCTAGGTGTTTTAGATGGTTGTTAAAGTCTTCTTGGTGGAGCTTACTGCATGGCATGGAGGAATTTGCATTTTTACTGAGAATAGCGGAAACAGCTTCAAATATGCCATCAGTTTCGCTCATACAGTTAAGAGTAATACATAATTTGAAACTGTAATGGGACTACTTTTATTTGTTCACACTCACAATATTAACAAAACAGTGTGCTTTTGTAAAATAAAGAAAACAGCATGCACTTTCTGTCTATTTTTTTCTGTCTATCTTTTTTTGAGTCTATTAACTCAAAAGTATCTGGGCTACTTGCCTCACAGACATGAGAAACATATCTATCATAATTAAATTAATATGAATGTCTGATTAGTAGGGGTGTGCTATATTGACAAAAAATTACATCTCGATATTTTATGGGATTTTATCGATAACGATAATTAGACGATATTTTGCTGAGTGTGTTATTGTGCTGGTACCTTAAGGACTGCCGAAGACAGCTGACTCCTAATGTTTTTAATATTCTTCATATTCTGTGTGGTGGTCAGTTCATACTGATAGAAATTAATCTTTTCCAATAAGTTTAAACTGATTTTTGCATATTATGGGCATTTTTACCTTTATAAAGCCATTTTTTCTAAAAGTGTCCATTATCTTTTGAGTCAAATTCTTACATTTAATCAGGGAATTAGAATAATAAGACATTTGGGCTGTTACCAAGCAAATGAAATCAACACAGAAGCTGCATCTGAAGTGGCATTTAGATGTATTTACACACATGTATTTTGTTTAATGCAAGACATGAATGCATTTAACCTGCAATTACAAATGCATAAATAATGTTTTGTGGCAGCAAATCACTGTTAATAAGTGAGTCATTGCGATTGAACCGAATCATTTAAACGGTTGATTCATTCAAGAACGAAATACCGTCATGTTGCTCAGAGACACAAAACAGCGCTGTGGCTGTATTCGGAATGATTTTTGTTGGCGAAATAGAGCAAAAACAAGCAATATGGTGTCTAAAACGTTAAGTCTCTTAATTAACTTATTGTTTATTGAATTCAATGTCACATTTGTAATCATGGTAATTTTTGGAGAAAAACGGCACTCTTCGTGTGAAATTGAATAACTACATGAAGTATAAATATATAAATTTTCTGCCATCATGTCTTGAATTTGTGATCATTCTAAATGCATTTTAATAGACTGAATCATGCAGTGAAAGAAAACACACTAAATGCGCACACGCACTAGTCTAGACTTCACGAATGTATGCGTGTGCTCTGTAGGGATATTTTGAATGGTTTTTGCAAAATACTCGATAATGTCAAATCGCACATCGTTAAAACAACAATTACGATATTATCGATTAGTCGAATGAATGACTACTAGTCGACTAGAAAAATCTTTAATCGGGGACAGCCCTAGTTTTTTCTTGGTGGTTGGGGGGTTTTTTTCCTCACCAGTTTTGCCATCTGCCATGCCAAAATCAAATCAAATAAAGATAATAATAAAAAAACTCTCCTCAACAAGCTTCATGATTTGAGGCATCATTCATGTTCATAGCACAAACAATGCAGAAGTGTTATGCACTGACGTTTAGTAGGGTTATGGGCTGTAAAAACAGCACTAAATGGTCTACACTGACATGAGGTGAGCGTGAAGCCAGCAAGCACAATGGAAAGCTGAAGTTTGCTGTGCATGGGAGGAAGTGTTGCACAAGAGGAAGTGGCCAGAGCACCTCCCAACGCTTTACCACCAGGGCAGTTTTACAGCCTACAGGCATTAGATGAAGAAGGGGCAAAAGTCGTCTTGAATGAACATAATAACCACAAATCTAGCACATCCCCTGCCCTGATAAAACCACACATCTGCAGGCTCGAGCCTATTATGGTTTTATGATGGATTGATGCACTGCTTCCATTAGACCAAAGCTGTGCACAGTAGTTGTTTTGATGACTTTGACACACTGTTTGTTTCTGTGGTAATGGACCAACAATTCGGGTTAGTGTGCAGTATGGTATAACAGGCCCATATTAAACTTAAGGAAGTCTAAAGCAAGTTTGAATTTAGGAACATAACATGCACTGAGTGATTACGTTGTGAGAAGGCTTTAGTGTGTTAAAGCTTATTTCTGGAATTTGAATTGTGAAATTATGGGGAGAAAGACTTTAAAGATAGGCTAAATGTGAAGAGGAATTGAAACAGGGAAATGCTGTTTAAAAGCACACGCAATCAGTGATATCACATTTTACATTTTCTTATTTTGAGTTGTTGTTATGAAAACTCTTTCTCTTCTCTCTTTTCAGATTGTTAGTATTTCTGTAGGATTGCGACCTTGGCGAGTGCCTGGATAGGCCTCCCTTCTGTCACCTCCTCTGCTTTTCTGCTGGTAAGCATCTCCACACACAATCACAGCTCTATTACAACTACTGTGCAGTTGTTTTACTGTATGAACTGTTGTGAAGTCATTGTTTTATTCAAACTTGTGTATTCATAAAGATTTTTCAAGAAAAGTTATAGCCTAAGAAGTCAGTTCTTCTGCAAGTCAACATGTAACTATGCTACCACTACCAGAACTAATTTAAATAGGTCATATCATGAAAACGTCTCAGGTTACTTATGTAACCATGGTTCCCTGAGTAGGGAACGAGACACTGCGTCCTCTAGGGGTCGCTATGGGGAACGCCTCGTCGTGACCCGTGTCTGAAGCATACATTGAAAAAACACCAACAACATGTTGGCCGGCGACAGCCCATGACATCACTACCGGTGCGATTATAGTATAAATAGGTGCCGGGAGAACATGTCATTCACCTCTTCGTCTGAAGCTTGCGTTCGAAGCATGTCAGGAAGCCTAGAGGACGCAGTGTCTCGTTCCCTACTCAGGGAACCATGGTTACATAAGTAACCTGAGACGTTCC